AGGCCCAATGCACTATAAATCCCCCTTCAGTGTAGTTTCAGCACTATTTCACAAAATTTTAGGCATTTTTTTGACAGAGAGCATGCAGTTCATGGTTGCCACCAACAGGAGTTTAGAACATTTCCGCTGGCTTCCACCAACTCCATAGGCACCCACCCCAAAGTTATGATGATGTAATCTAAAACAAAAGGTGGCCCAGCAGTAAAAGTTTCTATTCCCAAAGTCAATGGCAAGTCCACTGTCCAGTGGCTCTTGGTGAAAGAGTAAATAAACAGACATGATCACTTTCAATTGTGTAAGGTTGAGCCATATCATCCTCTTGGTCTGATGTTCAAGGATGAAGATTCATTAATATATACACTTATTTTGCAGTATAGAAAAATGCTCTTCATGTAAAAAGAAAGAAAGCCTATCCCCCTTTCAGATAGACCAGTAGTTGTTATTTGGAAATGATTGCAATAAGTATGACTTTGCTCCCATTTCCAGGCTAGCAGAGCTATCAAGCACACAGCCAGTCCAACAGCAGTGCTACAGCAGCCAAATGTCCGGGCTATGGGTTAGCAGGCAGCTGGGTAGCTGAATCTGTCACAGACTTTTCTAATCTCAAATGACTAATCTGAAACAATTGGAAATTTACTGTTTTCATATTTCTGTAGTTCCACTGAATTAATGATAAGGTAATATAAGAAGACCAGAAGCAAATAAAAGGATACCAACTTCCAAGCAAAATATTGGCTTTCAAATTTCTACAGTTGAGACTTCGCCACTAAGACAATGTACCTATGTTTCCAGAAGTCACTTATACTACATGTGGTCTGATGGATTCTGGTGCAAATATAAAAATTACACATATACACAAATATATATATTACTTACAAATATTGATTCAGATATTTTTGGCAGTCTTTCATACTCCTATGAAACCCACTGCAGTTTAGGTTCTATTTCTGAGTTCTCTAGCTTCAAATATTGCATTTTAATTCTACCGAATGAATTAAATATACTTTAGAATTACAATAAACTTTTCTTGTGAAGGTATTTCTGAAGCATTGAGTCACATTGCTTGCCAAGAATAAATACCACAATAATAGATTCACATAAATAATTTAAAATCCAAGGGCACAGTAGGTAATAAAAATATATTGCCATGATAAAGCATGAAACTAGAGAACAGCATTGCTTTAATTAAAAATTACAAATACATTGCAGTAAACAACTTATTTACACATAGTTAAAAGTCCAATGATGTAATATTTTGGACTTGTTAAATTAAGAAACAGAAAAAATACTGAAACCAATCTCACAGACAAATATTGAGGACCATAACTGTGTTTAATTAAGATCTACTGTTAATAATGGATTTCAGAAAGTGAGTTACTTCTTTTAATTTCCCAAGGTAGAAAATGTTATTAAATTTAGCCTTTAACTTCTCATTGACATGTACATTTGAAACTTCTGATTAAAATTTCAGAGGTTGGGAAGAAGCACCCAAAATTAAACTCTTAAATCTGGCACAAAAATAACAATGATCCCTAATTAAGAAATCAAATTTCAGAAACTTCATTACTGTTCTATTAATAAATTGTTGGGTTATAATTAAAATGGGGCCTGCTGGATTTCTTTCATTTTTTTATTCTAAAAAAGTTGGAAACAGTAGAGGGAATTAAACACTTCAAAAAAAAAAAAAAATAGGCTAATGAATCTAAGAAATGTTATCCAACTTGAACAGGTTCCTGTTCTTTCTGGGAATGATCATAGTGGAACACACAATATTTTCCACCCAAAGCCATGTATTCAGAATAAACCACTGGTTCAGTCTGTTGCTTCCTTTCTACAGCATGCATAACCCATAACACACTGTACTTATTGCAGACTTTTCATAGGAAGTCTTAGAGGTGAGTATAGTTGTGAAAGTCAAAGTCTAATTTTAAACAGGTATAATTTAGATTATATTTAGAGTGTTTAGAGTATACCTGTTAAATGTAAGATTAAACTTGATGCTTACATTATTTAGCTGGCCAAAATGAGCATGTGTTTCTTGTCTCCAGAATGATGTGCCTACCTCTACCTGGAGTTTCTTTGAAATGTTAACATCAGTAGATCAGAGAAAAGCTGACATCACGAAAGTTCACTGCTAATTGTATGCAGACAAATAGCTAGAGCTCAAGGTACGTGCTTTTGAGTCTTACAAATATCATAGTCCTATTTTTTTCAGTGTAATACATTTTTGCCAGTGTGTTTGAGCTTTTAAATGAAATCCTCTCACAGTCTGCAAAAACACTTTAAACTGAAGAATAAGAAAGAAAATTGCTTCAAAAGTACAGCTGTCTTCTGGAATTTTTTACAAAGTAAGCCATGCTTTTCAAAGAGATAAGTAATTTGAATCTGATTCAGATATGCAATGTTCAAACAATAAATTCAATCTAGATGTGGACAACGGCACTATGCACTATTCATGGTTCTTGTAATGCATTTATCATGTTTTATCTAGTAGAGTAACTAAATTTGCTGATTACAAATAATCATCAGCCCCTCCTACAAGCTTTATATAGAAAACTAACTAAAAATATCCCTGTGGTTAGACATAGCTCAGTTGTTACAGTTTGAAAGAAAAAAACAGATTACTAATTCTCTGTTGTTCTTTGGTTTGTATCTGTCTGCACATTTTAGACAGATATATACTTTGTTGGGGTTGGTGTACATTGTTCACCCAGTACACACAATACAAATCTGGTATTTTTTGCTCCTTGAAGATATAAAACATTGCTTGTTCGTGGTCATCAATATTTAGTGTAATATCTCATTTAAAAGTACGTATTGTGCTTGCTTGTCCTTTCTTTTACCAGTAGCATTATACCAGTGATTCTGATGATATAATTTATAGCAGCATAGTCTGAGAACCATGTCGTCTTGTATGCATTTTCTATAGAAGCCCTGGACCTAAGCCCAGACTTTAACCACACACCTGCCTATTCTGGTATACTACAGGCTTCCATTTTCACTGCTAGTAGCTCTGTGTTTCAATAATACTTGTCAAGGTTAAAAGCATCTTTTAAAAATGACGGTTTATGTTTTCCTGTTATTTTAACAAAAGGACATACAGGCAGCCAAGTTAGCCTTTCCTGAATCATTCTACCCATTTCCCAGATTCCCGTTACATTTGAATTATTTTCCTCTTCTACAGCCACTTGCATTTACATATTTGCATTTCCGTATATGATCATGCTTTATTCTCAACCTAATCTAGGTTATTTCTGCTCTTCTTTTCTACATGTGCAGGGTAAGAAAATAAAAATCTTACTTCTGGCTAAAAACCTTCCAGGATTTGGCCGTGCTGGTACAGAAAAACTTCTGTACCAGAAGTTTAGATTATGAGCTGGTTATAGTCAAGATCTGAGAGTTCCTTTGCAGCCAGCTGTGAGATGTGGTGGACTGCAAAAAGTGTTTATGTTACTTAACCAGTTACACACAACACTCAAAGCCAACAGAGTTTTCATTAACTCATTGGTATGTTCTATGATTTCAGTATCAATTCAATTAGAAGAAATTCAGCAAAATCAGTAGGTCAAGGGGAAAAATTCAGATAACAGTTTCTAGATTGTTGTCTTTGATAACCTAATCATTATATTTTCTTGGCTTTTCTCTTTCAGCATCATAAAATCAACTATTACATTCATTAATAGAGCTTCTCTTGTCTCCCATGAAAATAAAGTTGTGGACAACTTCAATATGTATGCTTCTTAATATGCGTGCTTTCCCTGCCCATGGCAGAGGGGTTGGAACTAGATGATCTTAAGGTCCTTTCCAACCTTAACTATTCTATTGTCCTATGATCCTTAAACTCAGTCCCAATCCCAAAGAGATTAAATATCTTTCCTCTACACAAGCTGGGTTCTGAGTAATGTTGCGGAGGTATTTTGGAGGTGATGCACAGAACTGAAATTTATAATTATCTGCCTTGCTTTTCCCTCTTTTCTTGGAGATGAGCACACTTGCTTGCTTAAATTCACCTCATCATTCGAATCCAAGGCTGTCAGTGAGGTCTTTTGTAATGGCATGTTTACCAACATTTGTTACTGACACAGAACATCTTCAAGATCAGAAACTTGCTTTTTTTTGTAGAACATATGTCGAATCTTCTTTAAGAAGTGCACAATCAGTGTTAAATAACTCTGGGTTAGTAAAGAAATCAAGATCTATGATATAGATTGACAGTGCACAAAGTTCAGGTAAAGCTTTGAAATCATTCTTACTTATACCTTTTTATATACATTTATATCTAGGGGAAATTAGACTCACAAGGAAGAATGAAAAATTAAACATAGATGTATCTGCAAACTCTCGAATTCTGAGAAAAGCTGTCTGGAAAGTTAATTTAATATTAGAGAAGAAAGTGGTTTATCTTTCATTTTTCAACAAATCTAAAAACTAAATGACCAGAGTAGATGGATGGCACCACTTGAAGGTCAAGTTTTAGCTTTCCCAGTGAAACACCATAAGCTCCAGTGTCTCACCAAGAAATATTTTCTCTGCCCTTGAACATAGATGGATGGTCATTATTTCACTGAGGGACGTTATATAAATGATCATATACTGACCTAAATGACTTACGTATGTTTTACCATACATAAAACATAATTATTTCTACACACATTTTCAATGTTTACATGTTTCTCTGGCTCTCATGAAGGAAAAGGAATAAACAAGCAGGTTAAAAGTAATTTTGAAACCGTATACGAAGCTGTGTCTATTGCTTGTGGCACTTACTTAATTATTCCACTGCAGTAATCTCATAGCCCAGAAAACTACTGCCCCCTGTCTAGTGCAGTGCTTTGTTTCCATCATATTGAGTCTGTTCATTGCAGGAAAAAAGATAAATTGCCACTTCTTATTGTGTAGGACAGCAACTTTAATTTAATTCTGTACTGGCAGGCAAATTCTTAGGCACAAAAGACATGCTCACTTTCTAATGAATGAAAATTAGAGAGTACTGCACTCACCTGATAGTCTGATGTTGCAAAGTGTCTGGATCTGTGGCATTTACCGTTAACACCTTACTGCCAATAGGAATGTTTTCTTGTTTTGTCACTCTCATTGGGTTTGGGTGGAAAACTGGGCCTTCATTCACATCCTCAACAGTGATCTGAACTGTTGCTGTGGAACTGGGGCCATACGCTATGTCTGGAATCAGTGGGTCTTCATTTTCCACTTTGATCATCAGCCTGTGAAATGCTGAAATCTCGTAGTCTAAAGGCTGTAAAACATAATAAAATCAGAGTGCAATGTGCAAGGACAATACTAACCACTTTTTCCTTGTACCCCATTGCAAACTTTCAGAAGATAGAATTATCCAGAAAAAGACAACAGCATTCCTTGCATCTGATACTTAGTCAGAGTTTAGCATTAGACACAATGGTAGTTTTAAAGTGCATTTAAGGTAATGAACATAATAGACTTAATGAAAGATGAAGATGTCCCTCTATCCAAGAGCATGCACTATTTTGCCACCCCTCATACAAATAATTGTCATACATTTGTGATGTAATATGTATTTAGCAAACAGGTCATACTCAGTAGCTACATATGTTAAATAACATAACGCTTTTTTCTCAACTCCTGTCTTGAAATCAAAAACACCCCAATGGAAATATATGTCATTTGTCTTAAGAATTGAAAATGCCTCATGTGGAGTCAAACAGAGAAAATTCTGTTAAAAGCAGCAAACAGGGCTAATTTTCTTTATCTTTATTTTTTTCATCTTTATTTTTTTCTTTTTTTAAGTGTGAGGTGTAGGATTATCTTCATACAAAGACAGGCAATAAATTACGATTTTTCTTCATAAGGCTTTAGAAACAAGGGAACAAAGACAGCTCCCTGCTCTGAAGCCACATCCCTTACTTCCCTGGTGTTTGCATCTGTGTTCTCTCAGAGCAATATATGGCCCTTGAATTCTAATCATACCCTCAGTCACAAACATATTTTGTCTCACTATTAATGGCGATGCTCACTGCAAAGCCAGCTGTTATTTAAGCACAATGGCAACATAGTTAGCAATAGGCATGTCCTTATGACTAAAGAAATAAGGTTATTGTGACAGAAGAAGGCTTATACATATTGTTTGGACAAGGGCTGGTAGACCACTATATGCTTTTGAGTAACTAATCCCTGCTGTGTGTTCTTCTATGCGGTAAATCCAATGGGTGGACCTACCAGTAATAATACAGTATAACAGCAAATGGTTCTTACTTTGACAACTGAAAGCATTCCCTCATTATTCTGGGGATTGGTATGGATTTCAAAACTCTGCCCTGTATTTCCATTAATAATGGTGTAGACAGCTCTCCATGCTCCAGTTGCTGGGTCATCTTGGTCACGAACGGTTAAGTTTACTATTACACCTGTGACTCCCTCCTTTACCGAAGCTAGAAACTAGAAAAAAGGAAAACCAACATAGAGGAAATTGTTACTGTTTTCAATTAATGGCCACATATGCACACATGAGATATCCAAGCCAGCATTAATTATTTACCACAACAGGAGAAAGATGTAATCCTTAGCTGAAACAGAATGTTATAGGCTCTAAATAATACATTCTGACTCATGAAATATAAGGCAGCACATTACAGGTACTGTTCATTTAATAGATGGGAGATAAGCAGCAATGTGACAGGAATCAAGCTTTGGAAGATTCTGATCACAAGATGACAGTTCAACTCATATTACTGGAAAAGTGAATCCTGAAAATATGTAATGTTGCATAGATGCATAAGCTAACAGAAAGGGAGCTATACACATAGCTAAGCAGAACAGAAACTCACAAATACAGCCTATTCTTGCCCTCAAATGTACTATTATTTACAAATAATCCAATTTTTCACTTCAGACTATTATTTCATAATACACAACACATTAATTTTTCATTACACTGTTAGCAATATATAAAACATTTTTTACAGAATGTGTTACCATATTGGTTTTGGAGAGGCTTCTCCAAGAACCTACAAAATAATTGGACCTCATTCTACCACTCTGTCTTCATAAGTTAAAGTCAGTGTTACTTTCTTTTTTCAGTGGAAGAATTTTTTACGATCTTTTTGCACTTCTGTATTACTCAGCTAGCCAAACTCTATGAGAAAATTCTAATTTACTATCCAGACAAACAGTGTATAACATCATTCTTATTTATGTAGGAAAAACATTAAGCAAACCATTGGAAGAGGTTCTAAGGGTCAGACTTAATAATACTCCTCACCTCTCAAGTACTTGAGGCTGACATGTTAAAAGCATTGTATATCAGTGGTAATACCTGTTTTGTAGGTGGATAAACTATAATGATAACATACCAAGTCCTGAGAAGTGCTGAACACCAGCAGTATCATTATAGAACATTATAAAATCTTAGCATTTTTAGAGATCAAGCTTTCAAAACTCCAAAATTACAGACTTTAATGTCACAGACTTTAATGTCACAGTGTTTCCTGTACCTACTTAAAAGCAATGTTGTCAGTGGCAACTCTAGGGCAAAAATTACCCAAGTGGCTTTAAGACCTAAATAGACTAAACATCTTTTTCTCTGTCTTATAGACCACATGAAGTCATAACACTACAGATTTTGTGAGAATATTAAATCCAGAAAATAACATTTTATTAATATATAGATTTTACAATCTGGACAAATAATTGGCAAAATAGATTTCCATATAGTAAAGTACAGAGGAGAAAACTATGCCTTTCTCTCTGTTCAGTTATCTTTGTTTTCATTTCTTACAATAGATTTGACTTATGTTTCTAAATCCATTTTCAATATAGCTGTATAGTTTGAGTGCATGCATTCAGTTCAAGCTTTCTAGGATCAAGCCTGATGTTATAAAAGGATGACATTAATGACTGGCTATTTCTATCTTCTTTGGTATATTTAATAAAGAATTTAAAGATTCTTTTGATTTTGATCATTAATATATAACAGGTTGAGATTGAGCTTTGTTTCAGTCAGATCATTATGCTCATTTGCAGTTTAATTAACTCTAAATGACAATATAACATTATTCTCGCTTGCGTTGAAACAAATCGAAAGAAAACCCTCTATTAAGAATCTTGTATATAACAGAGGAATTAATTATTATCAAGACTGTATTCCTTCCTGCTCAGCAAAATGTTGTCACTGGAAAACACTTGGACACCTCTTATTTTAATTGAAAATATGCGATTAGCCTGATTAATATTTTTGTGTTATTTCATATTGTCTCAGCTTGAGTATGTACAAAACAAGACATCAGAACCATAAAGGCCAGAACTTTCCACAAGTGTTCAGTATCAAATAATTCCTATTCAGCTATGTAAAAAGGTGACTAGACTTCAAGGGATGTAAACCTAAAGAACAGAACCCTTAGATTTCCCTGTGCATCTGCTCCTATTTCATATTGATCCTTCCGAAAGACCTTTTCCTTAATCCACAAGTCTGAGTCAATGAAGTGTTCAGTACTCCTGGATCACTTTGGGATCAGTAAGAGCTGTTAGGGTAAAATACTTACTTAAAGATCTGGCTATTTTATTCAGATATATAATTGTGAAGCCAGTGAGATGGATTTATTATGCTTACCCCACCATGATGAAAAAGGTTACCATGATGTGTCACCTAGTACAAAAAATATGTTGAATATGAGTTTAAAAAACATCAAGGTTGTCTCAGCTGGAGCAGGCTTTCTTTTACATTCCTACCTTCTCCTTGTTTAGGAAGGGCTCTCAGTAGCCTCAATTGCAGTGAGTTAGTAGTAGAGAAAGGGCACATAGACTTGCTGAGGGCATAAAACTGCAGAGCTTGTGACACTCACAGATCAAAGAAATGACAATGTCTACAGGTGAAGACTGTGGCAAGCCAAAGAATTCCAAGTGTAGTGGTACACTCTGAGCACTCTTTGCATTTAGAAATGACTGTATAAACATTGAGGGTGTTTGAAGCTGTCTGGAACATTAGATGAAAATCTGTTCAAGCTGGATGAAAAAGCAGAATGATCAAATTGCAGAAGTTGTCACATGGGCCAATTCTAAATTTATAACATGAAATGTGTCATAAATCACAGATTTGTGATTGCAGAAGACAAATATCTACTGTGAAGTAGAGAGGCCCAGAAAAATATAATGTATATTATCTAGAAGGTGAAGTCTTTTGCTTGTTCAGCCACCTTCATATTAAGAATAGGCTTCCTAGTATTTAAAAAAATCTGTTACATTTATACTGCGTCCCTTTCAGAAACAAAAGTAAAGAATGGAGTTTGAAAAACTATGGAAGGACAAAAATAAACATTTAGATTTGGAAATAGAGAAAAGATAATGACAGGCTCATCATATTTCCATATGCAGGGTTTATATTCTCAAATCACAGTGCTTAACTGGAAGAATCTGATTCAGTGTTCTAAAATAAAACCCCATAGTGGTTAACATAAATAATTGGATCACAAGTTAATTGATTTTACTTTTTTTAAATATCTGCACATCCCCTAAGCACCAGTATAAATTAAGAATAAAATAGATGAGTTCTGTACTTTATTTAATCTGCTATCATCTGGACCCATTTAAAAAAAGAACCCTTAGAAATACCTTGAGCCAGAGTTGCATTTGGCTGGAAGGAGCTCTGTACACTATACATTTACTACTACTGAGCATTTGAATATGTAAACTTAACTTACTCTGTGGAGTGATACGCTGTACTGTCATTTATGGTGCTTATCACACACACAGTTTAGAAATTTGAATAATTCTGTTATATTTACAGTTTTTAAAATATAGGGAAAAAAAAAGAAAAAAATGATCTGATTCCTCTCTTTCTGTCCTCAAAATCTTATGAAAAAGGACAGAAAAACAGACAACATACTGATACCAACTAAGAAAGAAACAAAGAGTGGCGGTTGCCAGCAGTTTACACTAATCATCAAGTTTTGTAGGCAAAGGAGGCTTTTACCAGGGAAGTGAAAGACATCAAGGAAATATAGTTATGGATGAAGATTTCTTCCAAGAGTGTGGGGATAGCTTGTGAGAAAGCAAAAATAAGCTTGAAAATGTAAGAAGTGAGCGATGTTTGCTGTCATAATGAACTGATGGGAAGTAGGTATTGACCACTGGACATTCTTGTGAAAGATCACAAAGATGGTTTTGCTGGGCATGGAGGTCCCCGAGGGTGAAAACAAGCAGCTTACATTTCTTACAATAAAGGACTCAGTAAGGGGATGGCAAGGAGACAAGTATCTAGGCACTAACTCCATCTCAGCGTCAAGCAAAACTGGAAATAATACCTAACCTGTATGAAAACTGGATTCTTATCTGACAGCCTTATTTAAAGCTTCTGTAATAAGTGAAATTTTATTTACTGACTTCCGAGAGCAGAGGAACAAATGAACTTAACTACATCAGAATCATCTGAATGTCTATTGTCCAGCAGCAGCATGAGCATGCACTAATAACAGTAATACCTTTATGAAGCCACTGAAAAACTGTCTCAGAGTGGGGTACTGCTATACCCAAATTAAAGAGCTGCCACAATCAGCAAACACAAGGCAAGATAAACGTGTTTGGGGTTAGTGATCGCTACCCCGTGGCTCATTAAGATTCTACATGCTGTGCTTCCCAATCAAGAACAAACAAATTAAAACTGCATGTTGGTTTGCATTTATCAGGGTGATATTCCACTTGAAGGTATTTCACACTACTATCGTGTTTGTTTCCTCATCTGTATATCAAAAAAGATGAAAAATAATGAGATATATTAATTTGCATGTCTCTATAGAAATTCCCCAGGGAAATGGTATTATTGTATTTGTCTTCTCCACATAAATCCACTGCTTTTGTAACCATATTTTGTGCCTCTACTTTCCTGAAAATATGAAGACAAGCTATACAATCTCTTTCAATATCTGCTTGGTCTTCGTGTCTTTTACTTGGCACACTGTCATTACATGTGCACGAGTGGCCAATATTTATTTGTTAAGGAAAGAACACATTTACCATAGCTCTGTGTCTGGAATATCCACAAGGACAAATGAATTTTCATAATAATTACAAAGATCTGCATTCTCAAGCAATCAAGAACAAGAATCATAAATGACAACAATGGACATTCATTGTGGAATTCATTTGGACAAAAAGGCCATCTTGGCAGCTAATAATAAACCAAGTAGTATGGTGCCTGGAGCTCATGAGATTTCACAGACTAGGTAGGTGAAATACTAAGTAGAAGTATTTAGCATAACATTTGTGCACTGAACAAAGTAAATCTGTTGATTCTTCATTTCAGCACTGTGACGAAATGTGCTGGCCTTCTATCAGGGGCTGAAAAACAGAGGACATGACCAGCTATAGTTTATACCAATCTCTCCACATGAGATATTTAATTGTCAGTTTTGCAGTCAGGGCAAATTATAACCTGTTCTTACATT